TGCCTCCCGGGTTCACGCCATTCTCCTGCCTCAGCCTCCCGAGTAGCTAGGACTACAGGTGCCCGCCATCGTGCCCGGCTAATTTTTTGTATAGACAGGGTTTCACCATGTTAGCCAAGGTGGTCTCAATCTCCTGATCTCGTGATCTGCCCGCCTCGGCCTCCCAAAGTTCTGGGATTACAGACGTAAGCCACTATGCCTGGCGTATTTGTCTTTTTCAAGCAAATAACATCTTGAGGGTAAGGCCCATGATTTATTCATCTTTGCATCACTACGGCATTTTAGTGTTTTGTTGTTTTTTTCTTTTGAGACGGAGTCTCGTTCTGTCACCGAGGCTGGAGTGCAGTGGCACCATCTCAGCTTACTGCAATCTCCGCCTCCCAAGTTCAAGAAACTCTTCTGCCTCAGCCAATCAAGTAGCTGGGATTACAGGCATCCACCACCATGCCTGGCTAATTTTTGTATTTTTAGTAGAGACGGAGTTTCACCACATTGGCCATGCTGGTCTTGAACTCCTGACCTCAATCTGATCTGCCCAATGTGGGCTCCCAAAGTGCTTGGATTACAGGTGTGAGCCACTGTGCCCAGCCCTACAGCATTTTGGTGTAATGCCTGGCACAGTAAAACCTTGATAATTTTTTTTTCTTTTTTTTGAGACAGAGTCCCGCTCTGTCTCCAGGCTGGAGTGCAGTGGTGTGATCTTGGCTCACTGCAACCTCCGCTTCCCAGTTCCAGCAATCCTCCCACCTCAGCCTCCTGAGTAGCTGGAATTACAGGCATGCATCGCCACATCCGACTTTTTATTTTTTTAAATTTTTTTTAGTAGAGATGGGGTTTCACCATGTTGTCCAGGCTGGTCTTGAACGCCTGATCTCAAGTGATCTGCCTGCCTCGGCCTCCCAAAGTGCTGGGATTATAGGTGTGAGCCACTGCACCCAGCCAAACCTTGATAATTTGACTTAAACTGATTTAAAGAGTGTCAAGACATCAGTTAATAGGGTTGCTATATTAGAGAAAAATTTTTAAAGTGCGTCAAGACAATAGTGTTTTGGAAATTGACACAAAAGGCCGGGCACAGTGGCTCACACCTATAATCCCAGCACTTTGGGAAGGTGAGGCAGGAGGCTCGCTTGAGCCCAGGAGTTCAAGACCAGCCTGGTCAAAATGGGGAAATCCTATCTCTATAAAAATCACAAAAATTGGCCAGGCGCGGTGGCTCAGGCCTGTAATTCCAGTGCACTTTGGGAGGCCGAGGTGGGCGGATCGTGAGGTCAGGAGATTGAGACCATCCTGGCCAACATGGTGAAACCCCATCTCTACTAAAACTACAAAAATCAGTTAGATGTGATGGCGCACGCCTGTAGTCCCAGCTACTAGGGAGGTGAGGCAGGAGAATCGCTTGAACCCAGGAGGCGGAGGTTGCAGTGAGCCGAGATTGCGCCACTGCACTCCAGCCTGCTGACAGAGCAAGACTGTCTCAAAAAAACCCAAGCAAACAAAAAACAAAACAAAACAAAATTAGCCAGGCATGGTGGCGCACCTGTGGTCCCAGCTACAAGGGAGGCTGAGGCAGGAGTATCGCTTGAGCCTGGGAGGTCGAGGCTGCAATGAGCTGTGATCACACCACTGCACTCCAGCCTGGGTGAAGGAAGGAGCTGATCAATAGTCTCAGATGCCCCAGAAGAGCTGGCTGCAGTGAGCCAAGATCCCACCACTGCACTCCAGCCTGGGCGACAAGAGCGAGACTTCCTTCGTCTCAAAAACAAACAAACAAACAAACAAAAACATCTAGAAAGGTTAGCAAGATCACA